TAATTGAATTTCTAATGATCTGCACATCCTTAGTTAGTCATGATGTGGAATGTACCAATTGATTAGACCTCTGGATCTGCATAGGTTAATCTGAAAACAAAATCTTGGTTCTACCGGTACATATTGTACTACTTCTACCTTTAAATGTAATTTTTTTGCTAGGGCCCTCCCCCCTGCCCCCCCCCCCCCACCGCCCCTGCCAAATAAACGTCACTAAGCATTGTATAGAGTATGAGAAAACAAATCTAGTTCTGAACCAGCTATTATAACAAATATAGTGTGCATGTCATGTTAACTACGCAGAAGGCTTGCAAAGTTGGAAATTTATAGCGAGAAAATTATTTCTGACATGACCCTGTGGCTTGACTGAGATGTACTGCATCTGGAACTTACTGTTGTTGTTGTTGTTTTTTTCCTTTCTCTGTCTCTCACACAAATCCAAAGACAGTCATAAACCCAAATAAAATTATATAATCTTGTATTCTGTTCTGTCCGTGGGCTGCCCAATCACTACTGAAGCCAGTGAAATCTATGCTTTAATTTCCTGAATATTAATAATTAAAGTATTATTGTCTCCATGGGGCTTTATCGCAAGTAGATGTGCATAGGCTGAAAAACACAAGTAACATGGTGTGTGATCACATTTTCATTCTTAGATCACCTTCTATTCAATCCAATCCTAAATATATTTACTCAAGAGTGAGTATGTTTGATTTACTTTTGAGACTGATATGAGTAATTACATCCATGGTACTAAATATTCTGAAAAGTTGGCTGAATTGCCTGTTTACCAGACAGTGCAATATGTGTCTGTCCTAAAGAAAATTCTTTTCATTGCAGTGATGTGCACTTGCAGAAGTGTGTATAGAATTCTAGCTTCAAGGAACTGCGTCCCTGGGTGTTTTACCAGCCATGCTGCCTGAATGACATTAATTCACAAAAATGGATTGATTGCACTTAACTCCGCTTACCCGTACCTTCTCCACAAACAGATGGTTGATTCCTTACCTGCTCCTTGCTTTTCAAGCCAGCAGCAGTGTGCTTTGCCTATAATGTGGGTTAATTTACTTAGAAATGTGTATTATTTGCAATCTCCTTGGGTGCATTTATGCCTTGTCTGCTTTGGTATGTGCTGATTAAATAAAAATTAGCTTGTTAGGCTGTCAGTTTGTCAGGAAATAGTGATTTTATTTAGGTTTTGTTAATTTCATTTCTTTTCAAATACAGTTTAATTGTTTCATTCTGAAGCAGTAGAATGGCAGCGGAACTCGTGTATGTGTGTGTGTGCATGAGTGCGTGTATGAGAGAGTGAGTATTGCCAAGCAGTGGTATAGGGAGGCAGTGCCTCAACCAGTGAATTTTGCTTATTAAACGCAGGGCAAAATTTGAACCAAAGGATTTGCATTTTATCACAATAAGCCAGATTGCTCAAATGTGCAACTCAGATACTGTGGAAAAGTTAGATCAACCCAATTAAACTTGTTTCAAGTCATAGATGTAAAAATGGGGAAACTACTGTTGCCACTATAAGAAGGAGGAAGCAGGAAGATGTTAGGGAATTAGCAAGTGGGGTGAAGGATAAGTTCAGTGACAAGACATCTAACGACATGAAGTCCCTTGTAGAACAGCAGAAAATCATGAAGTCAGATATGGAAGGAGAGAGAAAGAACCAGAATTACCTTCTTTCAGAAAAGGAAATAAATGAATGGTGCTTGAAAATGTCTCAGATTTCCTTCAGGCTGCTTCCAGTCTGCAAAACTATGTTGGGGAGAAGGGGCTTGGGAGCAGTACTCTCTTAAGGTTTGCACATTTGGAGAGTTTTGTGGGTGAGCTATACAGGAGCTATAGGGTGACGTACTGCTTCAGAGGCCCAAGAGAATAAGTAGTAAAAAACCCTATGGTTTGTTTTTGAAGGTACTCCTTAGACCAGTGTTGTCCAAACTTGGCCACTTTAAGATGAGTGGACTTCAACTCCCAGAATTC